CAGCACCTTAACCACCACACCACGTGCTGACTCTTCTCAATACTACTATCCATTATTAGGCTCCAGAACATGAAGAACCTCTTGGACCAGGGTGAGAGGTTACGACGTGGGCTGGAAACCCAGGTGCAGGAGCTACAGAACAAGCTGAAACAGGCCCAGGGGCCTGAGCCTGCCAAGGAGGTGCTGCTGAAGGTAGGGAGTGGGGTTGTGTACCCCAGACTGCTCTCCTACAGCTGGAGCATCTTCAAGCCACTTTCCCACTGTTTCCCCAAAGTATGAAAAGCAGGGAACTGATTATGGGCACTCCTTAGTGTGCTTTCGAGCACACTGAATGGTGGGGTGGGGTGAGAGCCCACAGTGGCAGGTTTTGTTAATTTGAACTAGGCATCTTGGGTGCTCAATAAATATTTTTTCTTTTTTGAAGAATTATTTAACTTTATCTTATTTATTTACTTATTTTAATTTGACCAGAGAGGGACAGTGAGAGAGAGGGAGAGAAAGAAAGCGAGAAAGCAAGCTGCCAGATGCAGGACTCGAACAGCAGTCGGCCATGTGGGAGTCCAGTGCCACTAACCTCTATGTTACCTGCCAGCCCTCAATAAATATACATACATATATATATATTTTTTTTTTTTGGAGAGGTTTTTGCGATAGGGCGCGTGCACTCGCCAGACATACAGAGAGAGACAGAGACAGAAAGCGAGAAATCACCCCCCCAGGGGGATTGCCACGCCGCAATCCCTTCTCCTCCATTCTCCTCTCGGGATCTTGAGCACGCACACACGCGCACCCGGCATGAGTTTTAAGCCACTGGGTCCGGGACGTGAACCGCAGTCAACTACATGGGAGTCCAGCGACATAGCCATTATGCTAACTGCTGGTCCCCTCAATAAATAATTTTGAACTAAATGAGTGAATTAATTGACAGGTAGACCCTAATAGCATCATCCCTGTCTTTCAACCTTCCCTTTCCCTAGGACCTATTAGAGACCCGCGAACTCCTGGAAGAGGTCTTGGAGGGGAAACAGCGGGTTGAGGAGCAGCTGAGGCTGCGGGAGCGGGAGCTGACAGCCCTGAAGGGGGCCCTGAAGGAGGAGGTGGCCTCCCGTGACCAGGAGGTGGAGAATGTCCGGCAGCAGTACCAGCGAGACACAGAGCAGCTACGCCGGAGCATGCAGGATGCCACCCAGGCATGTGACAGGAGCAGGGGCTGGGAGAGGAGGGTGCTGCCAGCAATGGGTTGCCTTAGGATCTTGTCTTTTTGGACTTTTCTGTTTGCAAGTGAGAACTCCTACTAAAGGACACTTGTGATGAACACCTTGGCCTGGAAGCCTGTGGGGGCCAAGGGAGAAAGCACAGGCCAGAAGAACCATGGGAGTGTGTGACCAAAATCCCATGGGGAGTAACTGGGGGAGGCTTCCTGCAGATGAAAGGGTGCACTACAGCTCTGCAGGGAAAACCTGCTAGCACTGTCCACATTATCCTTAAGATATTGGGGATGCAGCTGGCATGGTTCCCTCCGGACCTGAGCCCTCCCTTCCATTGCACTCACACTTTGGTTTGCAGTGAGCTCTTCCCTCTGAGCCCCAGAACCTGATTCTCTCCTTTCATAGGACCATGCAGCGTTGGAGGCCGAGAGACAGAAGATGTCGGCCCTGGTACGAGGGCTGCAGAGGGAGCTGGAGGAGACCTCTGAGGAGACAGGGCATTGGCAGAGCATGTTCCAGAAGAACAAGGAGGAGTTGAGAGCCACCAAGCAGGAGTAAGGACTTGGCTTCTCTCCCAGGAGTACTTAGCCAGGATCCTTTTTTTTTTTTTTTTTTTTTTTAAATAGACAGACACATTAGAGAGAGAGAGAGATAGAGAGAGAGAGAGAGAAAGAGAGAAACACCTGAGGTGTTTTTTAGGCTGCTGGGGCCAAGACTCGAATCCAGCTCCCAATGCACAGCCCTTTAACCACTGTGCTTCAGGGCTGGGCCTCCCATAATTCTTATATTCCACTTTCTTTCTACCTGTGCTATGCTTTTACTCTACCATTTGAAGTATTACTATTTTAAATTTTGTTAGAGGGTACGTGCTCTTGCCAGAGAGAGACAGACACAGAGCGGGAAAGTGAGAAGTCATCCCCCCATGGGAAATGGTCATACTGCAATCTCTTCTCCTATGTTTCTTCCTTTCAGGACTGTAAGCAGTGTGTTTTTCAAGTCACTGGTTCCAGGACTCAAACTGTACAGTCAGCTATTTGGGTTCCAGCTGCATCAATCACCAGGCCACAGACTGGCCCCCCTTACTCTCTCATTTTTCAAACTGTTCTTCTCCATCCACCTTCTTTCTTCTCAAGACTGGGTCCCCATTGGGGGACCAACACTTAACGTAATGGTTATGTCACTGGACTCCCATGTAGTCGACCGTGGTTCATGTCCCAGACCCGGTGGCTTAAAACTCATGCCGGGCACATTCTCCCGAGAGGAGAATGGAGGAGAAGGGATTGCGGCGTGACCATCCCCCCTGGGGGGGGTGATTTCTTGCTTTCTGTCTCTATGTCTGTTTCTGTCTGTCTGGCGAGCGCACGCGCCCTATAGTGAAAACCTCTCCAAAAAAAAAAAACTAAGCAAAAGACTGGGTCCCCATGTGTTTACCTCCAGAAAGATTTTTTTTTTTTTTCAAAGAAATATTTTATTTATTAAATAAAAAGAGAGAGAGAAAGTGAGAAATCAAGCCACCAGGTTTGGGACTTGAACTGTGGTGAGCCACATGGGAGTCCAGTGCCCCTAACCACCAAGCCACCTGCCAGCCCCTAGAAAGGTGGTTTTTATTGTCTTACTAACCTCCCTCAGGCAGGTGCCCTGACCTGTTTCCTCTCCCCTTTATTTCACCTCGCTGGGCTTAGACTCCTGCAGCTGCGGATGGAGAAGGAGGAGATGGAAGAGGAGCTTGGGGAGAAGATGGAGGTCTTACAGAGGGAATTAGAGCAGGCTCGAGCTGGTGCTGGAGATATTCTTCAAACCGAGGAGCTCAAGAAGGTACTTAGGTGAAGGGCAGAATGGCAGCTTGGGATGATGGGTACCCGCCTCACCTAGCCACGAGGGCCTCCACACTAGTAAAACTGCCTCCTGCACGTTTGGTTTTCAGGTCCCACCCTGCCTGCCTAGTTTTATCTTTTTCCAGTACAGCAGGTCTCTGCTATTCATTGAGTAAAGAGGTTTCTAATGGAAAGGACTGTCAGAGGCCACTGTCAGAGGCCAGGTCGGGGTGGAGCCAGAGGCTGCTGGCTGCCTGCCAAGAGACCTCATGGGTAGCGGCATTTAGGTGGATTTGTGAAACTCCGGGTCATTTTTACAGGCTCAGAAACCTACTTTGACCAGCATAGCAAAAGCTGCTCTGCCTTTCAGGGGGACTCACTCACTACATTTATGAAACAAATGTTTATAGTTAGGATGCTAGCTTATTCATTTACCATGAGAAATTTTATCACCTGGTCTCGAGTACTTGCATTGGCATGGCCGGGTGACCTGCTTGGGAAGCCAATTTGTAATCTGAAGGCTGTGGAGAGAGTATAGAGTCTGGACGGGGGAATTAAAGGATTCCAGTGTTTACGTGCCTGTCTCCCCTGTCTCCAAGGCACAGCCTTGCTGGTGAGGCTGTAAACTGCAAAGTTTATGGTAGGATTTCCTCTCTGGCCTTTTTTTTTTTTTTTAAAGAATTCTTTTATTTAAATTTAACATTAAATGAAAATTTAATTTGAAGTTAAATTTTAAAATTAAAATTTAAATGTAATATTAAAATATTACATTTAAATTTAATATTAAAATAATTTAATTTTAAATTTAAATTTAAATGTATTTATTTTAATTTGACCAGAGAGGGACAGAGAAAGAAAGTGAGAAAGCAGGTCTGGGACTCAAACTGTGGTTGGCCATGTGGGAATCCAGCATCCTCAACCACCATGCCACCTGCCAGCCCCCTCTTTTTTTAGAAAGTCTTTTTTTTTAGCTTTTCATAGGGCATGTATGCTCAGTAAAGAGAGAGAGAGAGAGAAAGTGATAAATCATTCTCCGGGGGATGGCCACACTGCAATCCCTTCTCTTCCATTCTCCTTTCGTAATTTTGGCCACACACACATGCCTGGTGTTTTTCAAGCTGTCTGGTCAGGGACTTGAACTGTGAAGCCAACCATGTGGGATCCTGCTGCCCCAGCCTCAATGCCACCTCCTGGCCCAAAAGTCAATCGTTTTATCGATGTTTTTTTTCTTTTCTTTTCTTTTCTTTTTTTTAAGAGGTTTTTGCCTTATGTGATGCACATTCACCAGAGAGACAGAGACAGTGAGAGGAAAATCAATAATCACCACTCAGTGGGGATGGCCATGCCACAATCCCTTTTCCTCCATTCTCCTCCTGGGATCTTGGGAGGCATGATCGTTCAGGCCACTGGGTCTGGGACTTGAACAGTGGTCGGCTTTGTGGGAGTCCAGCAACATAACTGCTGTGCCATCTGCTAGCCCCTGCATGGATATTTTATAAAAGAGTCACAAATGATAACGTCATAGAACTGAACACTGAACATACAAATAATTTCCTGTTTCTGGTATTTTCATTCATGAAGGGTAAGAATACATCTAATTGTTTAAGGTGACATGAAAAATCTCATAGGGTGGGACCAGATGGTAGTGTGGTGGTTAAGGGTGTTGGACTCCCACATGTCTGACTATGGTTTGAGTTTTGGACCTGGTGGCTTGCTTTCTCTCTCCCTCTCTCCCCCTCTCCCCCATGGTCAAATAAATAAAGTTAAATAAAAATAATTATTTTTAAAAAATCTCATAGGGAACTGGCATTTATAGCTTCATAAAGATCCTTCTAGTTCTACATTGTATTTATTTACTATGCTGGATGTTTAATAGGTACTTAGTTAACAAATTTTATATAAATATATATATTTAAAAGAATTATTTTCTTAACTTCATTTATTATTATCTAAAAGGTATTTTTAAAGATTTATTTACTTAATCCCATTTATTATTATGATTTTTTTTTTTTAATTTGAACAGACAGAGGGAGAGAGAAAGGGAAAGTGAGAAAGGAAGCCACCAGGTCCGAGACTCAAACCGCAGTCAGCCATGTGAGAATCTTGTGCCCTTAACCACCACACCATCTGCCAGCCCCATTATCTTTTAGCAATCTGACCAGAGAGGGACCCGCAGTTGGCATAATGGCTATATCGCTGAACTCCAATGTAGTCTACTGCGGTTCAAGTCCTGGACCTAGTGGCTTAAATTCACGCTGGGCCCAAGATCCCGAGGAGAGTGGAGGAGAAGGGATTGCGGCGTGGCCATCTCCCCTGGGGGGTGATTTCCTGTTTTCTATCTCTCGGTCTCTCTCT